GCGTCGTGGTTTCCTACGCTCCTCTCGTGTTCTCCCAACATCCCGCGTGTTTTGATCAGAGTATCAAACACGGAAAACTGTTTTTGATTTGTTAAATCAATAATATATATAACTATTATCTTTATTGTGATTAAAACAAGTTTCCTTAGAAAAAGTTACCTGGTCAATCATTTTCTTATTATTCTTTAAAACCTTTTTAAAAGTATTCAGATCTTTAATGTTTCTAGTACTCCTGTCCAGGCTATTCCATATGATTGAGCCTCGAAAGTCAAGACTATTTCTGCCCAGTTCATAGTTCTTAAATTTGTAATAAAGTGTTTCAAAGCTTTTACAKATTGTTGCATGAACACTGCCGCTCAATTGAAATGGACATGATTAAACATTTTCATTAAAGGGAGTTAAGGGTTTTCTATTCCTTTTACAAACCCAACTCACCTCCCCTGATTATAAGCTCACCCAAAAACTGTTAAAAATTGTATCAGGGCTGATAGCTGGGATTCTGTGGCCATCATGTTTTAATATATAATCAATAAACAAGTTGTATGTTGTCAGTCAATTCTCAGGTTGGTGAAGGTTCTGTTGCATCTTGCATTCTCAGCTTGAAATGCATTAAAATCATATGTAAATAATGTCAGCACACACGGTAAGCAATGAGCAACATGCAACCTCATGCAAGAAAACGTTCACCAACCTTTCTTGAAATAGCTGTATATTATCCATTTGCAAGTATTTCAGCCTGTTTTTGGTTTCAAACAAATTCACATTGTATTTGTTACAATTAAAATGGAAATACAATTATGGACATTGCATTCAGGAGAGCATCACCAATATGCATTGCACTCAGGAGAGCATTACAATRATTTACTAACATCGACGAGTWTTGCATTYAGGAGAGCATCASCAATATGCATTGCACTYAGGAGAGCATTACAATGATTTACTRACATCGAYGAGTATTGCAACCAACATAAAAATAATTTAATACAGACTATAATACCGCTATTAAGTGGACACAGCTATAAAAGCAAAAACACCCTTTTAGAGCTTAGACACTTTGTGCTCCAAACCTTGCATGTACTCTTACACTGTGTTTACAATTAGAATCCAGCAGGATTTGTACTCTACGTTGCAAGCACCGTGCTCAGGAACCAAGTGTGAACATGCTAAAAAGTGAGCCTGTTTTTATTGGCTCTAAATGATTTGTAACATCACATCAGGCATCCATCAAGGGCACCATGCCAACCCACCCCACCCCCATACAAGTATAAAATGATGACCACGAGCTCTAATAAACTATTATTATAATCCATCACTTCTTTTGTTCTTATCTGACTGACCATGACATTTGCTATATTTGCAATCATATACACGCATTTTTTCAGAATATGGCTTTATATGTTTTATTGAAATTAAAACTGATATTTAAAACTGACCTTTCAATAAGAAGTTCCAATACATCATGTACTTCAGCAAATGCCCGATAAGTTGATAAAAAACCCATTAAATAACCGGGATCCGAGTCTTCGGATAAAGAGTCCTTCTCTGATACTAAATTATCAACAAGTTTCTTCAAAGTTCCTGCTTTGATTTTTCGCACAAGAATTGTTTCCCACTGTAAGTGAGAGACCGGTTCTTCGCTGATATCCACTAAATATTTAGCACTGCGACGATAGCGAACTTTCTTGAGAGAAACTTCATACACGGCTCCGTCYTCTCTTTCTTCACGAAAGAAACAGCGCTATTGAATTATAAAATAGAATAAAGTAAGGCTGTGATGAACAAGAAAGTGCACGTGCTTTAATAATACCGAGAAGTGTTATATGATCACGCACATCGATGTATTCAAATTTTTGGTTGATTGTACTACCGAMATCAATATAAGCTTATTGCGATGGAAATCAAAATATTCCTTTGATCCGATAAATTGAATAAGGTTATGGTTGTAATTAAAGTACTCAATATTTGATTCAGAATCAACAATAATATGTCACGAGCAGGGATCGAGCTAGAAGGCCAGCATTTAACACCAGACAACACAGAGGATAATAGTCGTATATATGGCATGATTTATACATTTCTTCTAGCGGCTTCTCTAACAATTAGTTACTGGTAAGTTTGACATACTTCATATTGTTAAAAAATAAACTAATATATCTGGGGGAAAAACAGCTAAAAGTAAAAGGTCCGTCACTTGGAAATAAATAGAAATGATTAGCAAGCAGSAGATTGGAAGGGAAGATCACTTGGTCGTACGAGGTTGATACCCTAATAATATACTAACCTGAGCTGGCGGAGATGTCTTGGTGACAGCCTTCATAATTTAGGAATTAATACCATACTTTACATTTTTCTTATTCGCCTCATCACGGCAGATACCGATAACTAAGACCGGGTAACTATGAATTTATAACATTGGAAGTGTCTAGAACTGTTTTCACTGTTTGCAGCATCCTTCATGACATTATATTAAATTTGATACCACAAAACACGTCATCCACATCAAAGAGCATATTTCACTTCCGGTGTCACTTAATTTTCTTTCATGCAAGAGCAATTTTCATTTTTCAACATTATCACGAGTTCGTTTTGCCCTTGCTGTTGTCGTTTACCATATAATTTTGATGTCACTATCTAGAATTTTCAAAAGTCTAGCTGCGCTCGCCCTCTTTTGGGGTTTTCCAAGGTCAGTTACCAGTTCTGGGATAGGGTTCAGTCCTCCTCTGGTCAGTTACGTAAATCAGAACAAAAAGAAAAACAAACTTCGCAGACAAAATCAAAGAMGTAAAATTCCTCCTCATTTCTTTTTCCAGAGCAGCTTATTGTGTTAATTTTCCGAGATGATTCCAAGCTATAGGTTGCTATCAATAGACGTCACTTCCGGTAATAGCTCTTTTTTGATGGCTTGTAGAATCCTGGAGGTTGTTTTGATCTCTTGTTTTCTGGTTTGATGTCGTGRAAATAGTCAAATACAATAGTTTKAGGACTTATTTTGATATGTTTTGACTTAGCATCCGCTAGTTGCCCCCCAGTCAACCGCTTGTTTGCCCCCCAGTCAACCGCTTGTTTGCCCCCCAGTCAACTCCAAAAAAGTCACGTGATTGATAGTACGCAATTTGTCGGCTTTTGTTACCTAATTCATTCACAATAAAATCTTATTTGAAAATGATTACGTTGTCCCTATTTAGATCATAGTACGTTAATGGAGCGGAATGGTTTGGAAACTCCATAAGAACAAAGCTATTGTTTTGCGTTTTTTTATGTTGAACCGTACCATCACGTGATACTGACCCTGCACAATGGACAAAGCAAGTATGGCTGAAATTACTCATTTCCTTATTATTTTCATGTATGAACATTTTGAAAATGAAATTAAAACTTTTGTTCGATGACCAAAAACCATGCGAATAAATATTTCCGCGCAGATACAGCTAAGTTACTARATGATAAATAAGAAAGCATGAAAAAGGACAATTTCCTTTTCAATGAATAATTAATATTAATCATATAGGTTCAATTAACAAATAATAAGTATTTTAGAACGCTGTTTAGGGTTAAAAACTCCTATATTCCTGAATACTATGAACAAACGAGCAACGTTTCTTTCTCTGTGCAGGGTCAACGTCATATAACAATGGATAAAGTCGAACAAAAACATAGAACAATAGGTTTCCGAACCATTCCGCTCCATTAACTATATATGCCTAAATCTCTATGCGTGGGCTTTTGTGTGTTAAACCGAAACATTCTGATGCGAACCTGGCTGGTAATTTTACCAGATAATAAATAAAATAAATAAATCTCTTTAATTTAAGTGTCTAGTCGTTCTAGCGCTTTCGCATTAATGGACGACAGTTGTACTAACAGGTCACGTGACCCTACCTCCCTTAAAACAAGCAGCTGTGTGAAAACGAAGTTTAGGAATGAAAAGGACAGCTCAACATTAGTATTAGGGCGAAGGTTCAGCTCATAATGTTGACTATAGGAGAAATGGTACTTCAATACAAAATCGAACATTTTAGCAGGATTTGCATGGGGAAAATGTTGGCTGGCAACCTCTTGCCATCAAGCGTATTTTCCCATACAAATGCTTATAAAAATATTTGATTTTATATTTAATGCCATTTCTCCCTTTTCGCTTGTTATGAGCTAAAACTCTGCCACCCTACTAATATCGAGGTGCTCTTTTTATTCCGGATGTTCATTTTGACACAGCTGCTCGTTTTAAGGGAGTTAACGAATCCTTTGCTACCGCATGTCCCTGACGACACGAGATGATGACCAGTATCAATATCACTTATAAATGTTAACGTTAAAATCGGCTCAAAAGCCATTTCAAAGAGGCTTGAAAACGTTCTACCCGATATAATACATTACAACCAGAATGCATATGTAAAGGGAAGAACGATTTTTGATGCCATACGCACAATCGAAGGCATTCTTGACTTCACGCGGTCGAAGAACTACGACAGTTTATTAACCACAATTGATATCAAAAAGCTTTTGATTCTGTTTCTTGGTCTTTTATGGATAAAGCTTTAAAAGCATTTGGTTTTGGAACGTCGTTCCTTGCATGGATTAAAGCTTTTTATCAAAACATCGTTAGTTCTAATAGTTGTATATCTAACAATGCCTTTTGCAACCGCGTCCTTCAATTTGAAAAGAGATGTCCGTCAAGGAGACCCGCTTTCTCAGTGGCGGATCCAGGGGAGGGGTGCATGGGTTGCGCACCCCTCCCTGATTCGACTTTGTGCCCCTACTTCGAAGATAACCAATACAAAATTATGTTTTTTCCCTTTGATTCTAAGGGGAGCACCCCTCCTGGGTTAACTTTGTGCCCAGCACCCCGCCTGCCTGAACAAATTCCTGAATCCACCCCTGCTGTTTCTCCTTACTTTTTCATTATAGTAACTGAACTTTTGATGATACCTAGTATGGAATGACGAACAAATTAAAGGAATTCACATTGGAAATAATGAATTTAAGTTAGTTAACTGATATGACAACCTTTGTTCAAGATATATCATCACTCACTCGTCTTCTAGAGGTAATAGAACATTTTGGTAACTATTCGGGACTAAAAGTAAATTACGAAAAAATAGAAATTCTTACGTCAGGGGGCCTGACTTTTAATTAATACAGAAGAACAATACTCAAAGTATGTCAAGCATTCCGTGAAAATACTTGGAAATAGAGAATAATACATGGTCACGCGGAGATATGGAAGTTATCTTCGAGTGTTCAATGTGATATCAAATTTGAACACGAGAAGATAACTTCCATATTTCCAAGCGGCCATGTATTTTTCTGTTTATTATATAAACCATATCACTGTATTTTTTTCAAAACGATTGAATTTTATTGTAGAAAACATCCCAAATACAAAGTTCAATTCGACATAAAATCGAGAATTTATAAATACAGTCTCTAATAAACAAACCCAAATCAAGTTCAACTCTAGACTGTTCACCCTCGTAGGGTTGTTGGTTCATAGCGGAGCTCCCGCGGGGAGCACCATACTTAAGAAAAAATGGTAAACCATCGAGTTGATTGCAGAAAGGTTGTAGTATACATTAATACGAATATCTAATGAGATGCAAGATATCAAATGAAATGCAAAACTTAAAAAGAAACTCAATTTGTCTCATTAGGTTTCTGTATACGCGTATACTACAACCTTTCTGCAATCAAGTGCATATACACACACACACACACACACACACACACACACACACACACACACACACACACATGTTGGCAATCTCCGCCGCACTTGCACAGACCTGTGCACTCCAAACGTGCTTTTCGACACTTACAACGGCCACTACTACAGGATGTCTTGCAGCCACAGCATATAAGTTCCTGGCAAGATTCATTGATCTGGGATAGGGTTGTCCATTTTGGCACCCATGTTTGATGATCATCCAATTCCCATCCCCACTCAGATGGGCTGGGGAGAACAGGCTGTTTGAGAAGAGCTTGTCCCCAAATATAACCTCCCTGTAGGACAGAGCGCTTCACATGCTGGATTAGGGCTTCAGTCTTGTTGGAGGAATAGCATCAAGGGGTCTTGATTTCTGGGAAAAGAGTTCTTGTCTTGCTTTGTTGACCTGGGCGAGGTTGCTTGTCCGATCGTAAAGGAGAACAACGAATCTTTCGATTATCGCAATGCATTCATCATCAACATCTCCTGGTAACGATTTTAAAGCTTTCAACTTTGGGGTGAGTTCAGGATAAACATCCCAGACATTCCAGGCCGTCTTCTTTCCTTTCCCATTAAAGAATGACACCGTATCACACCCTGTCAGGGCATGGAACAACGGTAAAACGGATGCCCTCTCTGTTCCAAGAGATCCAGCAATGCTGTGAGCAGGGAGAAACTGAAGATGCTTTCCTGATCCATAGGTTACCCACAATTCATCCACTTGAAGCAAATTAAATATTGAAACAGCCAGCAGAACTACATCGGCATCATTAGATCTCACCATAACTCGTCGGTGTCCACATGCACTGGCGTCCATGACATGAATCATCAGTCGAGTGTCCGCTTCTTCATGAGTGCTTGGTGCAAGGTATTCCATCTCTGTTCTGTTTGTGGATGAGAGTACAATCTCTCCATGAGTGCTGTAGATTTCTTTCCCCACTGGCATCTTCAGTGACATCAAGTTTACTGCTAGTAGTTGAAACAATTCGGTCTTGTTTTCATCATTACGAAGGAAGCCTTTCCAATCAGATGGAATGCGTGTAGACATAAGAGCCTTTCGCCGCTGTCCAGAACCTCTTTTCTGTCGTGTTGCTTTCTTTAAGGAATCATCACGGTATACATCCCAAACTACATCGACTCTTTTGACCTTTTCCACTTGCTTGAGAATAAATGGTGCAAAGACATCATTAAAATATTCTTCAAAGTTTTGTGCTGTTCCAGGAGATAGCATCTCGCAATCACTGCTCCATCAAAGATTGCAGCATCAATGATGGGATTGGTAGACTACATGGTAGGAATGACTTGCGTTAAGCATTTAACCAAGCTTGCTTTTTGCCCACCTCTTAGTAGACCCATATTGGCGATTGAAGGTGGCCATGCCTGATTTTCATGCTTGAAAAATTCTTCAAGGTTGCCGTCTCGATTCTGACAGGATATGTAAAGTCGTGAGAACAGGGCACAATCCTGTTTCAAAGATCCAATCTTCTCTTTCTCTATTGACGGACCCTTCTTGGATGGAGTACTAAATGTAGCAAGGTTGTTTTTCTTTATCACATCTGCCACTGTTGCACTTCTCTCGATAAATCTTTCTTTGACAAAGGCATTGAATTGCCCTTCTCCGATCGTCAAAACGTTCTTAACGGTTTGAATAACACTTCCATCCATGACATCCCTTGAGTGCAAAGCTATCAACTCGGGACCCTCCTCGGCAAATGGGTTGTTAAATTCCTCAAAGGCTGAAATGACTTGAAGCACATCTTGAGTAAAGGCACTTTGAACTCCAGGTCTTTGCTCGTGATGTTGGCGGTTCTGATCATCCTCAACAGCTTCAAATTCTCCAATCATTCGCGCTACCTCTGGGCCCGCAATCATACACCTACGTAAAGCTGACAGATCTTGTGTCAACCCAACGGCTCCTCCTTCTCTTCTACGCATGCAGTCGAAAACATACAATTATCAAAAACAGTTGCTGGAGACCGAAATGAACTGTGGGTCATTAATATTCTTTATAGAAGATAATATAGGTAAGTTGTAGTGCTTGGGAACGAGGTTATTCCGGGCGAAAGCCCTTGGAATTAAATTCGTGGGTTCGAATCCCAGCGAGGTCGGAAATTAATTTTTCCGAATTTAATTCCAAGGGCTTTCGCCCGGAATAACCTCGTTCCCAAGCACTACAACTTACCTATATTATCTTCTACTATTTCATTAGTGCCACGCGGTCCACATACTCTAATATTCTTTATATATAAATATACCACTTGGGGAGCAGAAACAAATGTTGACATTTGGTATCCATGTTGGTAATCTAATTTTTACAAATGTAATAAACCGGTATTGAACCATAGTTCTTTTCGGTATTGCCATCGCCGTCCGACTTTTGCCATTGCCTCCGACAACGGGCTCTTTTCGAAATAAGTATATAACTGAGAAACGAGAGCCGAATAGACCGTTTTCTCAAGGTTGCGGTGTGCGCATCCAACTTGACGGGCCATAAAACTGAAAAACGCCAATTCAGTAAAATTGAGAAGACAGTTTTATATTTAAAGAGGAAAATAATCGATTTTATGAATTCTTATCGAAAAACATTTCATAGCAATGCAGTTCCTTAAATTTGAATGCGCACGTAACTTTGAGAAAACGGTGTATAAGAGATCATCCCAGTGATGTGTAATTGGCCGTGTGTGAAAAGCACTGTTACTCACATTTCTCTGATGTCTTATTAATACCGGTGGTTCTCGGTTGACTTGGATTCTTGCCGGTGTAACACGTTCCTGTCGGACGAAATGGACAGTGACGCAAGATCTGGATCGCTTTGATTCCTCCTGTTGAACATCAAACAGGAATTTTAAGTACTGTTTAATAAACGAGCAGGAGTGTTTTATCAGGTTTAAAAACACGAGGCGTAGAGAGTGGTTATAGACATGAAAAACACGATCTGCAAGTTTATTGAATTGCTTCAAAGACTTAGGAATGATTTGCAAACCTTTGGTCGAATTAGAGTGAGTATACGAACATGGACTTTTATTTAACAGAACAAAAACAAGTTTTCCGTGTTTGATACTCTGATCAAAACATGCGGGATGTTGGGAGAACACAAGAGGAGCGTAGGAAACCACGACGTGTAGCCGATGGTTTCCAGCTTCTCGAGTGTTCTCCCAACATCCCAAGTGTTTTGATCAGAGTATCAAACACGGAAAACTGTTTTTGATTTGTTTTATATAATAACAAACGCACGAAAAGATCGAAAAAAAGCAAATTTAAGTGAATTCTCCCTACGTGCCGTCTTTTTCAAACTGACCAATGAGTGCGCGCGATAGATTAAAATCTGACAGTTGCAATACTTGCACGCGCTAAAATGACGACAGCGCGTTTTGATACTCTCATCAAACATGGTTTTCGACCAATCATATCGCGCGTAGTATCCCAATTATTTTATAAATTTACATAACTTTATCCATGACAATTATCTAAGTTCCTATTAAAGCTATCATGGAAGGGGTAAGCAMAACAGAGCTTGGCTCCAAATTAAGTGCAACCTAACAAAAATTTGAATTATAATAACAACAACAAAATACGACTAATTGTTAATCAAGACCTTCTCCCCTAGCTATCCCCCTTAAAGCGAGCACCAGAGACAAAACAAACATCAGAAATGAAAAGAGCACCTCGTTATTAGTAACAGGGCCAACTATTAGGAAAAAATGGCATTTAATCTGAAATCAAATATCTTATAAGCATTTGTATAAAAAAAGTATTGGAAGGCAAGCTTTGCCATCCAGCACATTTTCCCATACAAATCCTTGAAACTATCTTTTTTTTTTTATTAATGTCATTTCCCCTCTTTTGCTTATTATGAGCGGATATTTCGCCTCCCTACTAATGTCGAGGTGCTCTTTGAATTTTTTTAGCTCATTTTCACACAGCTACTCGTTTTAGGGGTAGGTCACGTGACCTGTTAGTACAAGTCGTCTGTTTTCCTTATTTTCCTTGACTAATATGTGATAATGTGAACAAAAGAATACAATAAAATATGGAGAAGTTGAAAGAAAATGCAGCTATGAAGTAAGACGGAACTTTATATTATTTTACTGTACAAACATAGTGTGGAATTTCAGATGACACCAGCCAATGCATATTACTACTAGCCACTGCTAGCTTGGCTGGCACTTTGACAGGATGATCAGTTCATGTCATTGTTTTTACTTATGGCTCACCTTAATGAAAGTCTAACTGGTCTTTTTTTCGTAGAATCTTTTTCTATATCACACGAGATTTTGAAGCTAAAGAAACGGAAAACATGAACTATATAACTTTTCTTATTTCCCTTGATCAAAGACAAAGAAAATGTCCACAAAAGAGTAGAATATATAAAAATCAATCGTTGATTGGTTGGTTAGTTGGTGGGTTGAATTGGGTTGGTTTGAGATTACTTGAGTTAAAGCGCGGCTAGGGTAGTGGGGTGGGGTGGGTAGGGGTGGGGTGGTGTGGGTAGGTGTGGTGTGGTTAGGTGTGATGTGGTGTGGTGTGGTTAGGTGTGATGTGGTGTGGTGTGGTTAGGTGTGGTGTGGTTAGGTGTGATGTGGTGTGGTGTGGTGTGGTTAGGTGTGGTGTGGTTATGTGTGTTGTGGTGTGGTGTGGTTAGGTGTGATGTGGTGGTGTGTGGGGTGGTGTGGTGTGGTGGTGTGTGGGGTGGGTAGGGGTGGTGTGGTGTGGTGTGGTTAGGTGTGATGTGGTGGTGTGTGGGGTGGTGTGGTGTGGTGGTGTGTGGGGTGGGTAGGGGTGGTGTGGTGTGGTTAGGT